TCAACTATTTACTTCATGTAGAATCAGTACTAAAAGTATTGTTGAAGGGTTCATTTTCACTTTAATAATGATGTTGAATTACTACCATTACTATTACTACATGTAGAGTGTTTTAATGTTTTACTACTTACCATTTACGTGTATTTCTGGGCTGGTTATGTTTCCCATTTCATTCCATGCGTGACAGAAAAACGTCATTGGTTTTGTAGCACACTTAACATACGGGACTTTGTAATATTTTCCAGTGCCTACGATTTTTCCAGTATCCCCGCTAGTCCAAGTAATGTTTGGAGTTGGGACTCCTGTGGTGTTGCATTGCAAAGTTATGCCACTGTCCGTCATATTGTACTTAGTGCGTATTGTAGTTTTGAACCTTGGAAGAGCTGGTTCGGAAAAAAGCAATTTTTCATATTAATGGTCTTGCGTTTTATTTGCTTAWCGTTTTTAAAAAGTATTCTAACGTTTTTAGAACGGTTATACGGCAAATATTTTTTTCCATTGGTGATTTTCCTGTAGATGAGTAAAAGCCAAAGTCGACCTAGACCCAGTCCCAGAATAAGCCAAAGTTGATGCTGCAAACATTGAGCAATGGAATAAATCTGTATACCTGGAAAGATCATTGACCTATATTTTCACCTTTTTTTCGGTGTCTGGACCGAGTTAATGTAGTAACATCTCAGCACAAAGTTACTTACCATACACTGGAAAAACAACTTTCTTGATTGGTCCTTGTCCATATTTATTGAATGGAATACAACTGACAGATATGTGGTCTCTTCTGTTTTTTCCTGGAGCTGCTACTTTGAAAATCTTTATTCCATTACTTGAATTATACTCTTTACCATCAATTGTCATAATGAAATACCTTGAAGGAGGCGAAGCATCAGCTGTGCAATTTGTATGAATGCTATCGACAATCATCTGTTTTACCAGTAGTGTTGTGCTGTCTGGTTCGTATTCTGAGATCAAAGGTATAAGAGGTGTGAATCAAACAACCTGCCAGTGATTAGCTTTGGGATTGAAAATGATGGTTCAAATCAATGAATTATCATTTTGGTTGTAAGATTAAATCCACTTGATAAATAATTTTCAAAAAACTTCTTTGCATTTTCATCAACAGATAATATATATGAATGTGTCAGTGCAAGGGAGTTCGATTGAGAACATGACAAGTGGTGTAAAAAGTATTGCACGGATTTGGTCATAGACTGCATTCCATCACATGAAGTAAAAACATTAGATAACAGAGTTGTCTTGAAAATTAACAGCTAAATGGCAAGTTTTCAGTAGAATTTCCCTGGATGACAGCGCATATTGCTCAGTGTTTGACTACCATTTGAAAGAGGGGTGCAATTCATGAGCTGATGATATACCCTGCACAATTGCCCTATTTCACTATGACGTCACTGCTTGTTTATGTGGGGGATAGAACCGCTGAATCCAATAGAAAATTCAAAAAACATTTGCTCCTAGCGAAACAGTTTAATCTAAAATGGCCTGGTTTTCAGATATAATATGTGTTAATATGTACTAAAAAATATTTTGAGCGTTTGCTATTATACTTCCCTGCGTGGATTGATATGGTTTTAGAACAATTTTCGGTGAATTTGCGTTGATTTGACCCTGTCCGACAACCATGGACCTTTGCGTTTAAACAATAGATTGTTTTGATGTGACGTCATAATGAAATAGGTCAATTGGTTAAAGTGCGTCATGCAAAACTCTACAATCATTCTATACATACCTGTAACATTTACTACTGTGCAGGCTGTATCTCTCCCGAATCCATTATCTGCATAACAGCAATATCGCCCTTCTGATCTTTTGCCAGTTATGTCCAATGAAATATATGAAGAGCCGCCAATCAGTTGAGGTGGATCATTGTGTGTCCACCAAAAACTAGGTGGTGGGATCCCTGTTGCATTACACTGTAGGTCGATGCAGTCACCATGCTTGCAGGACAGTTGTGGAGATTGATAGGTAATTTGTGGCTTAGCTTAAATCAAAGATTATAATAATATAAACAATCAAAAACAATTAAATCAGGAGTTTCA